AAACCCTATGGAGTGCAGTTCTTTTCGGATACACATGGGGTCGCCATGAGTCAGAATTGACTCCATGGCAAATAGTTTTGGGTTTATAGTGTGTTAGAATGAGATAAGTGCTCTGGAGAAAAATGAAGCAGGGAGAGGGAAAGAGAGTACAAGGGGGAGGGGGAGGGTAATGGGTGCTGCAATTTAAACAGAGTGGTCAATGGTCTCGGGGAACATCTAACTCAATTGGCATAACATAGTTTATAAAGAAAATGCTCTACATTCTTCCTTGGTGAGTAGCGTCTGCGGTCTTAAAAGCTTGTGAACGGCCATCTAAGATACTTCACTGGTCTCACTCCATATGGAGCAAGGGAGAATGAAGAAAACCAAAGACACAAGGGAAAGATTAGTCCAAAGGACTAATGGACCACAACTACCACAGCCGCCACCAGACCGAGTCCAGCACAACTAGTTGGTGCCCGGCTACCACCACCGACTGCTCTGACAGGGATCACAATAAAGGGTCCTGGACGGAGCTGGAGAAAAATGTAGAACCAAATTCAAACTCACAAAAAAAAAAAACACCAGACTTACTGGTCTGACAGAGACAGGAGAAACCCCTGAGAGTATGGCCCCGAGACACCCTTATCACCCTTATCGCTCGGTAATGAAGTCCCTCCAGAGGTTCACCCTTCAGCCGAAGGTTAGAAAGGCCTGTAAAACAAAAGGGCACACCAGCCTGGGGGCAAGAACGAGAAGGCAGGAGGGGACAGGAACGCTGGTAATGGGGAAGCAAAGGTCGAGGAAGGGGAGAATGTCGACACGTCGTGGGGTTGGTGACCAATGTTAAAAAACAATATGTGTATTAATTGTTTAATGAGAAACTTGTTTGCTCTGTAAACCTTCATCTAAAGTACGATAAAAAAATTTTTTTTAAAAGAGTTAAGTGAAGGATACAGAGCCATTAAAAACAATGGTTATCCAACTAATACAGCGGCAAACTAAGGATCTGAATCCTGATTGGTGTGACTTCAAAACCATTGTTTAAATAATCCGTAGAGACAGAAAGCATATCAGTGGCTGCTTGCAGATGAGGGGCAGGAGAGAGTAATTACCAAAGGGCATGAGGAAACTTTTAGGGGTGATGGATATGTTCACTGTCTTGATTGTGGTGATGATTTCACTGGCTTATATGTATGCCCAAACTTAGCAAAATATTGAGAAAGGACAGTGTTGACATGCCGTGGGGTCATGAGAAACTATTCTGTTCTGTAAACCTTCATCTAAAGTAGAAAAAAAAAAAAAGAATTATCTATGTGAGATCAAATGGACAACAGCAACTCAAAAGGTTTGATGGGAAGCCTAGGAGGCAGTGAGTTGAAGATAATGGTGATGGAATAATTTGGAAAAGGATAGTGAGAATAGCAGCACAACTGGAACAATGTAATCAGTGTCACTGAATTGTACAGGTAGAAATTTTTGAAATGGTGTATCTTTGGCTAGGTATATTTTCACCAAAAAAGAAAAAAGGTCCCCCCCATGGTCGAGAAGGGAGAGTGTTGACATGTCATGGGGTTGTCATAAAACAATATGCGTACTGACCGTGTAATGAGAAACTATGTTCTGTAAACCTTCACCTAAAGTACAATAAAAAAAATTTTTTTGAAAACTTAGCAAAATATATGTGGTTTGTCGTATGTCAATTTTGCCTCAATAAATCAGCTTAAAAAAAAAATTGTCGCTTTGTTTGAGCCCATCGTTGCAGCCACTGTGTCAGTCCATCTCCTTGAGGGTCTTCCTCTTTTTTGCTGACCCTCTACTTAACCAAGCATGATGTCCTTCTCCAGAGACTGGTCCCTCCTGATAGCATGTCCAAAGTATGTGAGACGTAGTCACTACATCTTTGCTTCTAAGGAGCATTCTGGCTATACTTCTTCCAAGTCAGATTTGTTTGTTCTTCTGGCAGTCCATAGTATATTCAATATTCTTCACCAACAGCATAATTCAAACGCATCCAATTCTTTGGTCTTCCTTACTCATTGTCCAGCTTTTGCATGCCTATGAAATGACTGAAAATACCATCATTTGGATCAGGCGCACCTATTCCTTAAGGTGACATCTTTGCTTTTTAACACTTTAAAGAAGTCTTTTGCCGCAGATTTGCCCATTGCAACGCATCATTTGATTTCTTGACTGCTGCTTCCATGGGCATTGATTGTGGACCCAAGTAAAATGAAATCCTTGACAACTTCAATCTTTTCTCTGTTTATCATG